ATAAGGCGATTTTTTCGCTGGGGCCACACAGCAGCGTCACTGGTATATGATACGGTAGATCTACTTTCAGACTGCGTACGATGCATACCTTCTAATATAGTATGTCAGTGCGCGTTCTGCAGCAGGCTGAAGAATAGTTGCCCCGTTGACCAAAGAGATGTATTTCAGGACTGGAATACATTTATTTATTTCGGGACGCTCCACTTGCCCGTCTGTCCGTCTGTCAAGGAGCTGAGCCTGCTAGATGTAGCACGTGCAGAGGAGACAGAGAGGGTTGTGTCTGGTTTTGCACATCTGTCGACGGACGTCCTTGACGTGTCTGATGCAGTATAGCAGCGACATCTTCGCGGTGTTTTATCCGGCGGTAACATCATTTCTTTCTGTATGGCCGCGGTCGCGCGCTCGAGGGCACGATCGCCACAACCGCCCATCGCCAATCAATCTATCTATTCGATCGACCTGAGCACCAAAGAATGTATCCGCTCGTTCCTGCGTCTGGGCCTGCGCGGCGACGACCACGGGCAAGCACATAACGCCCCGCTGTTGCGCGTGAACCCTATTTATTATCATCGAGCTGGCATTCATTCCTCATTGCCGGTCGCTGTGGCCGGGAATTCCTGTTGCCAGCTCGATACGTAGTGTTCGCCATGAGCGAGCATCATGGTCGCGGGTGTCGTCAGGCAGGCCCAGCAGGCGCAGGAATCCGCTGAAACACGCTTTGGCTTTGGTGGCCATATATATATATATACATATACCTACAACATCCACCCGACCCCAGCCGAAGGGATATGTATTACAGTAGGTGTCCCGGTATAGTGCCGGTTGAATAGTGCCAACGTCGTATAGTGCCGGTACATATTCTTGACACAGATATAGGCCTGAATAGTGCCAAACCGGCACCAGTGAGGGCTGCCTGCTTTAGCGCCGGTTCAGGCACTACCGAACCCCTCAATAGTGCCGGTTCACACCCCACACACAGCCTTTTTCGCCTCACGCCTTCCACACCAACAGGATTCGGAGACGGTTTGCCTTCGAGCTACAAGTACGGTCTTTGTCGGTACGCGTGACGTCTACAAATGTCATGGTTAACCGATCGACAAAATTCCACCACAGCAAGGGATTTCAGAATTGAGGCGGGCGAAAGGAAGATGGTGGTAGTGACGAAGGATGTGGAAGAACAGCGAGGGATAGCAGCGATGATGGAGGAGGAAAATATGGCGTCGAGGGGAACAAGCGTTTCGAGCCAGATGACCTTCCTCACATCAAACGCCGCAGGGGGGCAAAGTCTAGAGATGAACGCCCGAAAAATAGTGGAAATATTAGTGACGAGAGTAACTACAAGGATAAGGATGAAAACACTCCGAGACGAACGCGTGTTCAAAGTACTTCATAGAAGCCTTGGCAGACATGTGTGCAGTTCTCCTCTGTTGGTACCGTTTCTGTCTTTTATCACGAGAATCGCTCTGCCTCCTCCATGTCACTCTCACGGGGTCCCAGATCAGGGCCTTGAGAAACATATATTACTGTTTTCAACCGCACTGACGCTGACGTCTTCTGCTTGGCCAGTCGTTTTTGTTGCTTCTGAAGCCTTGGTCTTCTCGCTAGCTTTTTATCGAAGGAACAGGGGAGTTTGTCACCTTCTCTACCCCTTTGGAGATAGCATCTGCTTTTGTTGTGCTCATGTAAGGAGCACTACTATGGATGCCCTCTACTCTGTGGTGCGGAGAGTGGGCGAGCCTTCGTGGACCCATTTCCCATTCTCCTAAAGATCCTTCAACTCTTCGCAGCCGTTGAGGGTCATAAGCGTTGGGGACCCTCGGAGAACAGCAATCTATTATCACATATTCCCTCAGATCCTACGCTTTATGTACGTGGATCTGTGCTCACTGAACCTCCATATCCTGACCTCCACATTACATCTATTTTGTACCTCCAAATGTACGTCGGGTGCGTGCATGATGAGTGTCTTTTTCTTTCGTTGTCGAGGGGTGCCTTCGAGGTTGCCTGAATAGTGCTACCTACGGCCTTCTTGCCACCACAACAACACATGATTTGATAGCGAGGTGCCTTTTAATCGGGCAGCACGGTCTACGGTTTAAAGGCAGCGGCGACCTTCTCTACCTTAAGTGTGTGCGCTGAGTGAGGTGGGAAGACAACAATGGTGCAACAAATAGATGTATCTGGTCAAGTTTATTTATCATAATGTGACCAAAGCCGTGTTTTCGATGTGTAGGCAACCAACCTCACGAAACTTAAAGAAGCCCGCCCACGTCGCCCACCTCACAATTGGTCCGTACGCCGTATGTTTGGTACTCTGTCAGCCCCGCAAAACGTAAGCGCTGCACCCCTGAAGTCGAACAGTCCTCACTACATAGTGCCGGCACTAATTGATTTTTAGACCCTGAAATTGCCACTACAAACGCACAATTAATTCTGGATAGTGCCGGAGGCCGGTATGGTGCCGGTCCACCCTCCTGGACACATACCGGCACTTTAGCGGGGCGCCTACGCACCTACTGCTGTACTCCTATATACTATTTCTCTTCGTCCCATTTCCGCCGCAATTTCCTCCAATCAGATCGCATGTTGGGTGACGGAGGGCGTTCCTGTCTACTGCCTACCTGTCACTGAATAGGCGGGATCGCATGCTGCTGCCGTAGGACCTTGCGCACCGCCACGTTCTACAAAGTAAGAACGCCTACAGACTACCTTACTATTGATCATGCAACAGTAATCTATATAGCCCATACATGCGTCGGTTCGGTTACCCCAACATGCTGTATAGTCTATCCCGCACACAATTACTCTCAACAATAGAGGTTATTTAGTCGATGTGCAGCAGCAGTAGTGCAAAGTGGCGGTGCCTTCTGCAGGAGGGGCGGTTGATGTCATATCTCAAGCGCCTGTCAACGTGTGGACCCAACATACACTACTACGTGTTGATGTCCACCCCGGCCGCTGCTGGTACCACCTTCAGCGTGGCCTTATTACTACAAGTTCACCAGAGTGCATCATATCTGCGCAACAGCATTCTACAGCACCACCGGCGGAAGGGTAGAGTTCTATATACCGTATATGACACAAGATAACACACCCCCCTGGACCAATTTTCAAAGCTCGATTACTCCACGACGAAGAGGATGCATAAACGAAACGATACATTTTTGGAAAGCTCTCGACGAGACATTTCCAACCCCGCTGTTTTCGGCGCTGTGACTGTTCCTGCAGTTGAGAAAACGAGCTTCGAAAATTGGCCAAGGGGGTGTGTTATCTTGTGTCATATACGGTAGTCTAAAAGGAAAAAATATTCAGCAAAAATTGCCTCGTCGGCGTTTTATACAATTAAGGAGAAATAAATACACACATAGAGAGACTACCCATTCGAGATATACCCACAGTCATTTGTAATAGGCCTCATAGAAAACTGATGCAAACCACAAAACTAGCCATGTTACCTTGCTACCGTGTTCGTTATTCATGATCAAGCGGACGGCGAATAAGAAGGACACTTTCATTTGATGAAGTACAACGGCCAGAGTCTGCTCGATGAAAATTTAAAGCTTCCCTCGATCCATACGATGCGCACCACACCATGCACCATGGTGTTATTTTTGTACAGACAGCACTTCAGACAGCAGTACGCTGTAGTCAACAAACATTCATTTTGGTTTAATGCGGGACAAGGGGGGTGATGCTGCTGCTGTAGTCGATTTGTAGTGTGTGGGCGTGTAGTTCAGTTGTGAGCATGCAAACGTGCTGCAGGGATTGCAGGTGTACCTCCTCGGGCTTGCGTACCCTTTTCTTGCTAATAGTGTGTGTGTCCTTTAGATCTGATATGCATTTTTGTGACCACGGACCGAGTCTTTGCTAGATTTTGGGATTTGCAACTGACACGAGTTTAATGCGAAGAAAAACAACAACAGCAACAACAGCCACACGGAGGGATAATCTACTGCTGTAATCCCTATGCATGTAGCATAGTTGAGGTTTACGCATAATCCCTCAATTACCTCATGAAGACTCACTTGGTGGTCGACCTCGTGAACAGCCTCCTCGAATTTTGGCAGAGACTACGGGCGGGTCAGGGGCGGATTTCGGGGGGGGCTGCAAAAGTCCAATCCCCTGCGATAATCTTCGTTGGGAGTTCCCCGTTCAGATACATACCATATTTGCCAAGTGGAAAATGAAATCCGGAGGTAAAACACAGAGCAGAGCTGGTAGGGTCAGGGTCACGATGCGGGTCTTCCGCTTTTGGTTTCGCTGCTACTGTCGATGTTGCTGCTTTTTGTGGGCTGGTGTTGCGACGCTCGCTGTGTGTCTCGCCAACAACAATTGTGCAAGAGAATGAATAGAACCTTGCTTGACCCGTGACTGGACCATCATGATGCGGAGAACGTCATCTCGCTCCAGCGCCCTCTCTCCTGGGGAGGAACGGATGCATGTATGGTACCCCTATCTCTCTCTTTCTCCCTGGCTCCCTCGTCGAACATCATATCAAGGATATACTACCCCCTTTGAGCTCGCTGCCTGCCGTGCTGGACGAGACAATCAAACACTACGAACCAGACAGCTTCCTCGAGGGGGAAGGGAGAGAAAGAAGAAAACGGTAGTTGAAGGGCTGGAGCTGTTAGCCCTCTCCTTCACAGCAGCGAGAGGAGGACGTCGTTCTTTCTTCTCTCGACTCGAGACATGGGCGCGGGCCAAAGCATGGCGATCAAGGTGAGAGCTTCGGTAACACGAAGCAATCCCTGGCGTCAATGCAGAACGGGAGCGCCCCCCCCCGCCGGCTCCCATGTTCGGAGGACATGCTTCGCTCGTGCTCTTTGCATGCGGGCTGTGGCACCACATTTCCACGCTTGTTTCAAATGAGCCGGCGGCCCATGGGGCAGGGTACATCTGTTGTCGGATAAAAGAAGGCAGGTGCTGGGACAGGTGACATCAACAACAGCAGCGCATCCGCCTTCATCCCCACTTGCGAGGCTTGCCTCGGGCGCGATGCCGATGCCTCCCTGGTGACAGTGCGGGCCCTGCGAACTGAGGACCCTTGTTTTCGCCTGTTGTTGGAGAATTCATCTGGCATGCATGCATGTACGGGGACTTGAAGCAGCGGGCTACTTTAGCTTTCAGAGGATTACTGCAGCAGCGCCCTGCTCAGACTACATTACAGCAGTAGACATATATTTCTTGGGAACAGCGTTTTCATCCTACACTGCAGTACGTAGCGCACCTTTGCTGATTGATTCGTGCCCCTTGCACGTTGAGCAACAGCATCCGCGCAGCTCTGCAAGACCCTTTGCTCACCGCCCGCTGTTACTTTTGTCGTTACATGTGACGGCGGAAAGAGCAGAGGTTGACACGCTTGCACTCGAAAACAGGACACACTTTCCACACCCTTCAAACTGTCCAGACCCTGCCAACAACCTGCTGGTTGCCCGCATGATTTTCCAGGATTTACAAGCCGTTCGTAACAAGACGCTGTCTGTTTCGAAGGCCACGTTCCGGGCAGCACACTCACAGCCTATCGACACAGCAGCACAATAGGATCCCCCGAGCGGCAGGGGGGGTAAACCCACCTAGAGTACTCTTCATTCAGTACCCTCGCACGGTGGCAGGTCTTTTCCGAAGAAAGTACATCACCTCGCAGAGGGACTACGAGACTGCAGTACCCGCTCGAGATAAAACGATTGTAGCCCTAGGTCAGTCGACAAAGGGTTGCAAGGTTTAATCATGTAAACATGTTGGATAAAGCAACAATCGGGCAAGGGTCAGAGGGTGAGAGAAATAGGGTCTGCGTCCCCCGTGCCCGCTCGTGCTATATCCTCATAAACTTATTTATTTCGCGGAGGCGGTCCCTCTACGTATGCTTCCTTCGCGCTCAACCTGATCATGACGAGGAAGGAGATGGGGGGGGGGGGGGGGGGGNCATCTTGTGCTTACTTCCTTGCGTACGGATGACAGCTGCGTATGAATGGGGCCGGATGAAAAACAAGTTCGAAAGTCAACAACAGACATCTTGTGCTTACTTCCTTGCGTACGGATGACAGCTGCGTATGAATGGGGCCGGATGAAAAACAAGTTCGAAAGTCAACAACAGACATCTTGTGCTTACTTCCTTGCGTACGGATGACAGCTGCGTATGAATGGGGCCGGATGAAAAACAAGTTCGAAAGTCAACAACAGACATCTTGTGCTTACTTCCTTGCGTACGGATGACAGCTGCGTATGAATGGGGCCGGATGAAAAACAAGTTCGAAAGTCAACAACAGACATCTTGTGCTTACTTCCTTGCGTACGGATGACAGCTGCGTATGAATGGGGCCGGATGAAAAACAAGTTCGAAAGTCAACAACAGACATCTTGTGCTTACTTCCTTGCGTACGGATGACAGCTGCGTATGAATGGGGCCGGATGAAAAACAAGTTCGAAAGTCAACAACAGACATCTTGTGCTTACTTCCTTGCGTACGGATGACAGCTGCGTATGAATGGGGCCGGATGAAAAACAAGTTCGAAAGTCAACAACAGACAGCAGTCCCTCTCTGGTCACCACCGCTGGTCACCAACATGCATCTCGCATGGTTTTTGCGCATGCCACATACAATCTCTGCATGCTGCGAAAATCGGTCGAGAGATCAGTGCTCGCTGCCGTGTACCGCACTCTTGTACCATTTTCTTTTGTGTTCCGCGACTGCCTGCGGCGAGCTTTCGCGAAGTCTTGGATTTTCACTCTCTGAGTCATGCCGAGTGGCTACTGCCGTAAGTGGGGGTTTATCCGTTGTGGATTGTTTTTTGGAGCAGGTGGGGGTGGGTTGTGTCCGCCAGCCCGTTTTTGTGGGTTGTTTCCCGGAACACCATCCATATCTACCACGGTATGTACCGTAGGTTGTGTACGATACCACACACCCCTGAGCCGTTGTTCGAAGCTCGGTTCGTCCTTCCTCCACAGCAGAAGCAAGTGTCGGTGCCAACACACGCCGTGCTTGGAAGCATCCCATGAAGATGTTGCCGAAAAAAAAAAAAAACGTCAACTGATGAAAAAATATCATGTGTCGAGTCCGGACGCAAACCTTGTAGCTTCGTCTGAAAACGCGAGGAAGCTGGGCTTGGCTTGGCTTCTCTGCCTCCCGCCGAAATGCGATGCGTTGTGAGTTCGCCTACTCCGGCCATGGGTGTTCTTAGGTTTACTCATGATGCGTACCATGGTATGCCTTAGATTCGCACAGCAGTAGGAGACAACAGCGCGGGCCCGCGTCGTATGATACTGCCCTACCGTAGTTTATCCATAAATTAGCGTTGTCTCGACGATTGAGCACAGGCTGCCGCTTAAGTAGGATTTAGTGTGGTGCCCGCGGTTGAGGCCAATTTTCCCACGCCGTTCTTGTTGTTTGTTGTCGAACATCTGAGGTTCAACGTCTTGTGACGGAATGTAGACTGTTTCTTGTAAGCGCGCCTTCACAGCATCATACTTGCACTATTTTTTGTTCCTCGGTGCTTCAGGAGACGAAACCTTGTGATTTTTGTTCCCAACCGACGCAATAAATCCAAACGAGAAGAACTTACCCCGAGTTACTTACAAGCAGCTGCTGTGACTTGAGGGTTTCTTGTAAGCGCGCCTGCACAGCATCATACTTGCACTGTTTTTGTTCCTCGGTGCTTCAGGAGACGAAACCTTGTGATTTTTGTTCCCAACCGACGCAATAAATCCAAACGAGAAGAACTTACCCCGAGTTACTTACAAGCAGCTGCTGTGGCTTGAGGGTTGTTTAAATAGTAGCAACACATTGACAGGACAGCATGTCACCTCATCACGAGCGGATCAATGAATGACGGTGCCCCCCCACCCCCCGTGTGGTCGTTGGTCCGAACGCACGTGCACGAACTGAAATGTTTACACGCAAAGCAGCAGGCCTCAATGAGCGAGTTGGCGGACGACATCACCCCGGAGGAAGCCGAGGCGCACGACGTACGAAGGTTGCGGTGGATTTTGAGGGTGAGATCTGAGATTTTAAGTTGTAGCGGCACCGATGTATTGTATGCAGATTAATAGTAGTAGTTGAAGTCTGGGCTGTTGCACCGCTTCTGGTAGTAGCATAAATAGCCTCTCGACTCGACTCCCCCGTTCGTGTTTTTGGTTGCGCAACTCACTGGGGGAATTTTCCTCACTGTTGCGTTGTATGCATACTGCGTAATGCTGCTCTGTTTTTTTTTGGTTTCCCTGTACTGCGCTCTTTCTTCGAAAAGATGGCAGGTGACGGTAAAGCGTGACGAATGTTTCTCGTGTTTTTTTGTTGCAATATTATTATAGAAGAAGGTGGCAAATGACGGCAAAGCGTGAACGTTGTCAAAGTTTTTTGTGGCAATGTTGATGTATTTCTCCCTCGGAGGTGGCAAATAACCCCGGGTCTTGCGAGGAGTGGTACCTTGGCGACGAGCGCGATGGAGTTCGGCACGGCCACGGCGCGGCGTTTTACACTTCGGGGGACGTTTACCTTGGACAGGTGAGTGGGGACACGGGCTCGCGTGACCTGTTGTTGTTGTCGTTGATGGCGGCGGTGGTGGCAATTTAGGGGGAGGGAAACATTTCTTCGGATGCCATCACCCCCTCGCTCGCCGCGCTTCCGGGCATACATGTGGTGCGGCGAAAATCTTGCCCATTGCTTTTCGGCGGCAGTCTTACGGTTAGGGCTAGGGCTACGGCGGCAGCGTCGAGGCGCGTTGGGCGGTGAAAGGAACGGCGTAAACTTGCCGCTCACCGATTAGCACGTCCGGACAACGAACAGTTCGCGGGCCGCATCCTAATGCTTAACGAAACCCGCTGGTATAAATCGAGCATGCGTATCGGGTGTGCCCCCGCCCCCGATTATGCGTTCTGTGTTTTATTTCACAATGCCTAGTTAGTGTAGGCCGCGCTGTTTAGCCGACTGACCTTGTCTTTGTGTTGTGCGCACATATCTTGTTATCGTGACCTCTCTAACCCCCCCCCCCCATCTCCATCCCGATGAAAACAGTGGCACCGAGGGGAGTGGCATGGGCGAGGGACCTTGACTCACATGTCAGGA